AAACGACAACGACGACGACCATGACACCGACAACGACAACAACAACAACAGCAACAACAACGCAACAACATCAACAATCAGTTCAAGACTGTTCGCTCTTATCTGCTCGAATGTCATTCAACGTGCATTTCCCGAACCCTCGATACCCGCCCTCTTCTTCTTCTTCTTCGATCGTACCCCTTTTGGACGGTATATCGTTCTTCCCTGCAGGCGGGGCCCCGGCAAGCGGCGGGGTGGCCGCGGACCGTCGGCGTGGCCAGCGGCAAAGCTGATCGGCGGCAACCCGATCTCCCAAGAGAGACGGGTAGAGGACCTACCATCACGACGACGACGACGACAAGCAAAAGCGAGCGAAAGCGAGAGCGAGAGCGAGAGCGGGGCCACGAACGGCAGGAAAGGGGCCACGAAGGGCGACAATGGGGCCACGAAAGACATGCGTACGGGGCCACGAAGGGCGCGAACGAGCGGGGGCCACGAAGGGCAGATAATGCGGGGCCATAGAGGGCAAAGACGGGGCCACTGAGGGTAGCAACGGGGCCACGAAGGGCAGCGAGGGGACCACGAAAGGCGACAGCGAAGCCACGAAGGGCATGCATATGGCAGGGGCCATGAAGAACTTACATATATCGGGCCGCAGAAGACAACGACGGGGCCACTGAGGGCAACAACGGGGCCACGAAGGGCAGCGAGGGGGCCAAGAATGGCGACAGCGAGACCACGAATCGCATGCATATGGGGCCACGACGGGCGCGAACGACCGGGGCCACGAAGGGCATACATATATGGGGCCACGAAGGGCAGCGAGGGGGCCACGAAGGGCTGCAACGGGGCCGCGAAGGGCAGCGAGGGGGCCACGAAGGGGTAGAACGGGGCCACGAAGGGCAGCGAGGAGGCCACGAAGAGCTGCAACGGGGCCACGAAGGGCAGCGAAGGGGCCACAAAGGACTACAACGGGGCCACGAAGGGCAGCGAGGGGGTCACGAAGGGCTGCAACGGGGCCGCGAAGGGCAGCGAGGGGGCCACGAAGGGGTAGAACGGGGCCACGAAGGGCAGCGAGGAGGCCACGAAGAGCTGCAACGGGGTCACGAAGGGCTACAACGGGGCCGCGAAGGGCAGCGAGGGGGCCACGAAGTGGTGCAACGGGGCCACAAAAGGGGCAGCTTGGGGGCCACGAAGGGCTACAACGGGGCCACGAAGGGCAGCGAGGGAGCCACGAAGGGCTTCAACGGGGCCACGAAGGGCAGCGAGGAGGCCACGAAGGGGTGCAGCGGGGCCACGAAGGGCAGCTTGGGGGTCACGAAGGGCTGCAACGGGATCACGAAGGGCAGCGAGATCCCGATTGTATGCTGTGAGGGAATCCTAAGCGTGAGCGCGACTCCTGGGTGGCTGAGTGTCGGGAGCGCGGCGATTAAATCGCGGGGAACTCCAACGCAAGAGCGCGATTCTTGAGTTAATTGCATTGCACACAAGTCTCCAGCGAAAGGGCAACTCCAGAGCGCCGAGAAATCGATTCCTGAATGAAGTGTCAGGAAGCGCCATGCGAGAGCGCGACTCCTGAGTAAAATGCGAGGAAGTCTCAGGCGGGAGCGGGGTCCTGGCCAAATTATGAAGAAGTCTCAAGCGGGAGCCGTTGTTGTTGCAACCCGCGGGAAAAACAGTGTGCGAGCCCTGGGGTGAGCACTTCAATTGAAAAAGCACAATGGTCACCGGAGGGGGGGGTCATCAGTACTTCTTCTTCAGTGATGCGAGTTCAACAGCAACAACAACAACAACACAACACAACACCAACACAAACAACCATAACAGCAACACCAACAACAAGAACAATAGCCACACCAACACGACCAACAACCACCACATAAACAGCAGCAACACTAACAACACCAAACACAAAAACAACAAACACAACAACCACACCAGCAGAAACAGCAACAACAACAACAACACCAACTACTACTACTACTACTACTACTACTACTACTACTACTACTGCTACGAGTACTGGTACCACTACTACTACTACTACCACTACTACTACTACAAATATCATGGCTACTACTACGGCTACTACTACTAATCCTACTAAAACTGCTACGACGACGGCTACCACTACTACTACTACTACTACTACTACTACTACTACTACTACTACTACTACTACTACTACTACTACTACTACTACTACTACTACTACTACTACTACTACTACTACTACTACTACTACTACTACTACTACACTACTACTACTACTACTACTACTACTACTACTACTTACGACTACTACTAACTACTACTACTCTACTACTACTACTACTACTACTACTACTACTTCTACTACTACTACTACTACTACTACTACTACTACTACTACTACTACTACTACTACTACTACTACTTCTGCTACCACTACTACTACTAAAAATAATAAGAAGACTACTACAAATACCCCTACTACGGCGACTACGACCACTGCTACGACTACTACTACTGCTACTACTACTACTACTACTACGGCGACGACTACGACGACTACTACTACTACTACTACTACTACGACTGATCGTAATACTACTGCTAACACTGCTACTGCTGCTACTACTACTACTACTACTATTACTACTCCTCCTACTCCTACAACTTTAACTACAGCTACTACAGCTACTACAACTACAACTACAACTACAACTACAACTACGACTACTACTACTACTACTACTACTACTACTACTACTACTACTACTGCTACCCCTACTACGAGGACTACTTCTACTACTACTACGGAGACTACTATTTCTACTACTACTACTACCACGACTAGTACTACTACTACTAATAACAATAGTAGTACAACTACGACTACTACTACTTCTACGACTACGACTACGACTACTACTACTACTACTACTACTACTACTACTACTACTACTACTACTACTACGACTACTACGACTACTACTACGACGACGACTACTACGAGCACTACTATTACTAATACTACGACTACTACTACTACTAATACTGCTGCTGCTACTACTACTACTACTACTGCTACTACTTTGACTACAGCTACTACGACCACCGACTACCACTCGTACAACCAATACTACTACCACTACGACAACTACCACTACTACGACTGCTACTACCACTACTACCACTGCTGCTACTACTACTACTACTACTACTACTCCGACTGCTAGGGCTACTACGACAACAACAACTACTACTACTATTACTACGACTGCTACTACGAACACTGCTGTTTAAACTACTACTACGACGACTACTACTACTACTACTACTACTACTACTACTACTACTACTACTACTACTACTACTACTACTACTACTACTACTACTACTACTACTACTACTACTACTACTACTACTACTACTACTACTACTACTACTACTACTACTACTACTACTACTACTACTACTACTACTACTACTACTACTACTACTACTACTACTACTACTACTACTACTACTACTACTACTACTACTACTACTACTACTACTACTACTACGAACACTACTGCTACTACGACGATACTACGACTACTACTACTACTACTACTACTACTACTACTACTACTACTACTACTACTACTACTACTACTACTACTACTACTACTACTACTACTACTACTACTACTACTACTACTACTACTACTACTACTACTACTACTACTACTACTACTACTACTACTACTACTACTACTACTACTACGACTACGACTACGACTACGACTACGACAACCACAACAACAACATGTGTAAGACTGCTCGCTCTTATCTGCTCGCGTGCCATTCAACACTTGTATCCCGCACCATCGATATCCACCCTCTTCGTCTTCCATCGAACGCCCATGAGAGGTATGTCTTTCTGTCGTGCAACGTGTCTTTTGTGCAGCTCCTCAGGAAGGGGAAGAGGAGGACGGATGGAAGGAAGGGACAAGGGGGAGGGAGGAGGATGGCGCACGAGCGAAAGTAGCAGGAGGAAGGCTGGGAGCAGAAAACACTTGGCAGAACCATACGGGCAGATCGGACGGGTAGACCCTAACGGGCAAGTCAGGTAAACGGGCCAGGGCGGCCAGGTCGAGCAGGCGGGTTACAGAAGCGTGCGTCCTGCATGAATCACGAGAACGTCTGGAGCGATAGCGCGATTCTCACCAAGAAATCGGGCGAAAATCCATAGCGAGAGCGTGATTCCTGAGTGTCGAGCTCGCGGCGTCTACATATATTGCGAGGAAGTCCCACGCGAGAGCGCGATTTCTATGTAATTGTGAGGAAGTCCCGCGCGAGAACGCGATTTGGCAATAAACTGTGAGGAAGCATTCGGCGGGAGCTCTTGTTGTTGTAAACTGGGGGCCAGGGACACAGTTGAGTGACACCTCCCCGTCCCATGTAAAAAACAGGGTGCGAACCCCAAGAGAAACACTTGGATTGAGAAATAGAACGGTTGCCGGAGAGGGTTCATCAACAGCAGCAATGACAACCACGACGACCAACAACAACAGCAATAACAATGATAACAACAACTACAATAACAGCAACAACAACAACAACAAGAACAACAATAACTTAAAACTGTTCGCTCCTATCTGCTCGCGTGCCATTCAACATGTATATCCCACCAGAACCACGCGCACGCTTCGCGCGCTGAGGTTTTAGACCAGCACATGGCGCTAAGATGACACGGAGGTCGGGGTTTGGGGGCGACTGGCTGTCGGAGAAGGGTTGCGACCATCTTGGGCCGGTTCTGGGATGTCTCGCAGGGCTTCCTTATGTCCTTGAACTGGCTTTGGGGCTGTTTAGGCGCTGTCTTGGGGGGAGGACAAGTGTCTTTAGCCCCAATGGCGCCGTCCAGGGTTGCAAGATCGTTGTCACGACACGCACGTCTTGGTTTGCGGGTTCGTCGGGGACATCGCTGAACAGCCTTGGGGCATCGACTGGCTCTCCGGTGAAGTGTCGAGGCCGTCGTCTGCGGGTCTTTGGATGTCGTCACATTTTCTTGGCCTGTCTCGCCGAGCACCTGCGGGAGGAGCGAGGAATGAAGGAGGATGGACAACAACTGCATTGAGATCGTGCGCGCGCTGCCACGCCAGCTGGCGGAGCACGTGCAGAGGGAACGAGGAAGGAAGGAGGACGGAGAGCAAGCTGCCTCTATGTATAGAATGCACGCGCTGTCACACCAGGTGGCGGAGCACTTGCATGAAGATCGAGGAAAGACGCAGGAGGGAGGGAACGCAGCTTTGATACTGAATGCATGCGCTGTCACGCCAGCTGGCGGAGCACATGCAGGCCGAAGGACGGGTAAAGGAGCACGGAGAGAAATCTATCTTGAAACAGCATGCAGGCGCTGCCACGCCGTCTGGCGGAGCACATGCGGAGGGACGAGGAAGGAAAGAGACAGGAGGCAGAATAATATATGGAGAGAGGCACAAACTCTCGGGAGCCTCCTGGGATCGCTTGGGATCCTCTTTGTGCACTCTTTTGCGCCTCCTGGGGATCTCTTGGGGCCTGCCCTGTTGGGCGACTGTTGGCGACCTCGGGGGCCATCTTCGAGCAGAGAGAGGGCTCAAAATGGCAGCTCGGGTTCCCCCTCTTGGGCCCATCTTGAGGCCCTCTCGGAGACCGCTTGGAGCCCTCTTGGGCCGTCTTCGGAGCTTTTTGGTCCGTCTTCGGGGCTTTTTGGTCCGTCTTCGGACCCTCTTGGGCCGTCTAGGGATCCTCTTGAGGGCCTCTTGGGCAGTCTCGAGGCGATTTGGGAGACCTCGGGGGGCGTCTTTGGCCGCGCTGAAACCGAAAAGACCCATCTGCACGGGTCTTTTCAGCGCTCTCGCCGATTGGTCGAATCATCGCATTGTGTCCTGAGCTTCTCCTGAGCTGCCTGGCAAAAGTCCCCCTATCGGGTCGGGCGAAAGGGGGGGGATAGCAAAGGGGGGTTTGAGAATCAGCTCACGTAGCTGATTTCCCTGGCGCCTCCCGGCGCTGGGAGGCGACTATGTCTCGAGGAAATGGGCCCCTCGGTGGGGCCGAAACCAGCTGCATGCAGCGAATTTCCTAACCCCCCCTTTTCCAATCCCCCCCTTCCGTCCGGCCCGAACCCGGAGCAACCCCCTCTACCTCGTTCCCCCCCCCCTGACGCTGCCCCTGACGAACACCTGCGCTGGCGGCAGCCCGAGCCTCTCACGGTTCCAGAATCGAGAATCGAGAATCGAGAGGTTTTTTTTTCGAGAGGCGATGGAATCGAGAGGTTATTTTTGTCGAGAATCGAGCGAAAAACGTGCAAGGCCGGGAGGGGGAGGGGGCCCGCCTCCCGCCGGGAGCGCGCAGCACACGCAAGGCCAGCACACGCAAGGCCAGGCTCCAGGCCTCCAGCCTGGAGCGTGCAGTGCCCAGAAGGTGCACGCCTGAAGGGGCCCTGGGGTACACAAACAAATCACACGAATGAAACGATTCCCCATATTTTCCTATATTTGCTGGTTTTCTGTCTTCCCTCACACTTCCCATGTTTTCCTGTATTTTCTGGGGAGTCGCCGATTAATTGTGTCTGTGTGTTTCTTTCCCTCCTGAATGCCGAGCCCAGGCCCGAGGGAGAGAAGGCGGAGGAGGCTGAGACGCGGGAAAAGATGGGGCGCGAGCAGCAAGCTCCCTGCTCCGTCTCCTCCACGCGCTGGTCGAAAGCCATCTGCCCGATCATGAGTAGATCCAGAAGTCTGGCACTATATCAGCTTGAGCAAGCAGGCACGGAAGGCCGCGCATAAGGGAACAGAAAGTGACATAAACATAAAAATGCGGAGGTCCGCGCGGGTTTCTCGGATCGGCGCTGGACCCCCTCCCTGGCGCGCGGAGCGCGCCAGGGGCGGCGCCGGAGGCGCCACCGTGGGGCCCCAGCGCCGATCCGAGAATCCGCGCGGACCTCCGAATTTGTATGTTTATGTCATTTTTTGTTCCCCTAGCGCAAGCGGGAGACTTGAGCCCGAAATTCACAAATCTGTGGTCTCTGCCGGCATGTCGTGCTCTGCTGCCTCTGCAGCTGTCAAGGCTATGCACACTCGTGCGGTTCGGGCGTCCATTGAGGTCGCTCCTTATATAAAGCAGGGCTGTGCACCCGCCTCGCCGGAGGCTATAAAAATTAGTCCTCGCCCTCCCAGCCGAAGAGCCCCCAGCAGACGCGTCAACCGGCCTCGGGAAGGAGGCATGGAGGGAGGAGGCCGGGGCAGGGTCCCCTCTGCCCTCCTCTTCTCCCCGCCCCCGTCGTCCCGGTCCTCGTCGTCCTCGTCGCCGGCGTTGGCGCCTCCTCCTCCTGCTCCGTTTCCTCCTGGCGGTGGCTCCTCCTCCTCCTCCTCTTTCTCCTCCTCCTCCTCCTCTTTCTCCTCCTCCTCCTCGTTCTCCTCCTCCTCCTCCTCCTCCTCCTCCTCCTCCTCCTCCTCCTCCTGTGCCCTGGGGACCGCCGGAGCAAAGTTTTCAGGGGCGGCGCCCCGTGGCAGAGGGCCGGCAGGGCGAGGGGGCGGGCGCGCTCTACAGATACTTACGGCGTCCGTGCGGCCACGTCGCTGCCCCTCCTCTTTCTCCTCCTCCTCCTCCTTCTCCTCCTTCCTCCTCCTCCTCCTCCTCCTTCCTCCTCCTCCTCCTCCTCCTCCTCCTCTTCCTCTTCCTTCCTCCTCCTTCCTTCTCCTCCTCTTCCTCCTCCTTCTCCTCCTCCTCCTCCTGCCCCGTGCTGGCGTCGCGGAGGCTCCGATCGGGCCGGGCGGAAGGGGGGGGTGCGACAGCAACCCCAGGAGAGCCCAGGATCGAAGCGACGAGTCGGATCGGCGATGGAAAGGAATCGGGTCGGCGGAAATCTGCAGCCGAGTCGGGAAAAGTCGAATCGGCAGACATCGGCAGGCTAGTAGGCCTCCAATAAGAAATCGGAGCCCAAGTCGGAATCTCAAGTCGAATCGAATCGGAATCGGAAGCCATCGAAATCGAATCGAATCGAATCGGAGGAATCGAAACGAGCCCTGCAACCCTGACCTTCCAGGAGGGCTAGAAAATAGCACCCGACTGAAAAACCTGTCCCAGAGCTACTCTACGTCCTGGTTTTAGGCCTAGTTTTTTTGGAAGGTGAGGGAAAAGGGGAGGGGGAGAAACAGCTCGCGCAGCTGATTTTCCTGGCGCCTCCCGGCGCCGGAGGCGGCGGCGCCGGAGGCGGCTATGTATCGAGGAATGGGCCCCTCGGTGGGGCCGAAACCAGCTGCATGCAGCAGATTTCGTAGCCCTCCCTTTTTCCCAATGCCCCCCTTTCGTCGGGCCCGATCAAATCGGCCTTCCCGCCGACGGGTCGCACGTCGCGCCCCTGCAGACGGAACAACTCGCCTGGCCCGAGCAGGCCTTCAAAGCCCGCTGACTGACAGCATAGCCGTAAGTCGGGCCTGTCCCCCTACAGGGGGAATCTCGACGAAAAATAAAAAATACCCCCAAAATAATCAAAACACAGTCCAAAGACTGGGGGCTATTTTTTGGATCGTTTTTGCTGCCATTCTGGAGCAGTTTTGGGCTCTCTTTTATTTGTCGTCCAAAATCCCCCTGTAGGGGGACAGGCCCGACTCAAGCAGAGCCCCGAGATCGGGCCACCCGGCCTCACGAGCGCGCCGGGCCAAGCCAGCGAGGAGCGAAGGCGCGGAGGGGGTCTCTCCGCTCGGCGGGCTCGGCGCGGTCCGAACCTGCTGCAGATTGCCAGCCTGGAACAGGCCTCCTCCTCCTCCTCCTCCTCCTCCTCCTTCTCCTCCTCCTCCCCTATCCCTGTGTTGGGCATCGCCTCATCACGGTGGCGACCTTAGGGATTTCCTCCGTTTCTGGGGGTGCATCCCTAGGATTGTCATCTCCTTTTGGCGTGTCACTCCTAGGGGTAGGGATGAGTTCGAGGCTGGTGAGCAGACCCCATGCCCCTGGAAGAGGTGGAAGCGGAAGACAGCGACGCAGATGTGGTATAAAACGCAAGAGGCCAGCTGCTGCACACGCTGCCCTCCCATGCGTCGGGGCCCCGCAGCGTGGTGTTCCGCCAGGGGCGGAGATGCGGGTCGCTGTGCACGGCTTTCGGACCCACACGACGATCACGACGGCGTGCGCGTACCGTCGGTGCGTTGACCTAAGAAACCCTAACTAAGGAACGAGGCCCCTTGTTTCCATGAGTTAACCTTCGATATCCGGTCGAAAACGTAAAAAAAGCCTGAGGCAAGCTGTGAAACACTTAAGGAACGCGGAGCCACTCCCCAACGAAAAGGGTTCCTTCTTCAGAGCCCCGACTGTACACGCAACGCGCTGAAGCAACTAGATCACGCTGAAGCATGCACTTTCCCTGAGGGGATGGAGCGATGTTTGCTTCTGGGGGTCCTCTTGGAGCGGTCTTGAAGCATCGTTGACGCCACCCCTCTGGAGCCGCCTTGACGGCAGCCTGGGGCGCCTCTTGAGCCGTCTGGGAGCGTTGGAAGCCCGAGAAGGCTTGAACGCAAAATGCAAACAGAAACACAAGGGAAATAATTAATGTTGGCATCTCGGGGCACTCGTCGGGGTCCTCTTTGAGCCTTCTTGGGCTGGGGACCCCCCGGGGGGTCCCTGAGCGGCCATGGCGCCTCCCTGGAGCTCTCCAAGGCTTCCACGACGGCCAAGGAGGCCCCCAAGACGGTCCAAGGGGACACCGAGTCGCCGAACGATCGCTCGAAGACGACGAAGATGGCCCCAAGATGGCGCAAGAGGCTTCTAAGGCGCCCCAAGAGGCCTCCAAGAGGCCTCCAAGAGATCTCCTCCCAATGGGGCCCCGAAAGGCAAACATCATTGATGTTCCATTCGTGTTTGAAGAATTTGGGCGTTCTCGCCTTTTCGGCTTTCCGACGCTCCAAGACGGCCCAAGAGACACCAAGACCACCCCAAAACTACTGCCCAAGAGACCTCCAAGAGGGCGCCAAGACGGCCCACGAGCGCCCCAAGATGGCCCAAGAGGCGCCCAATACGGCCCCAACAGGGGCCCCAGAGAGGGAACATGAATCGAAAATGCCTTTCGCCCCAAGGGGCCCCCAGGAGGCCGCAGGAGGGGCCCAAGAGGCCTTCGAGAGGCCGCCAAGAGGCCCCCAAGAGGCTTCGAAACTGCTTCCAAGAGGCCCCCGAGAGGCCCCCCACGAGATTCCAACGAACATCCACTAGGCTTATAACCCACAACCGAGGCACGGTGGCGGGACTTGTCGTGGGCAGCTGGATACACATAGATGTATATACATGTGTGCATACATGCATGCATGCATTCATACACACAAATATGCATGCACGCATACTCACATACATACATACATACAGACATACATGCATGCATACATACATACATACATGCCCGCATGCATGCATACATACATACACACAAACATACGCACCTACATATATACACACATACATACATACATACATATATGCATGCATGAATACATACATACCCTCATACACTACCTACAACCATGCGTACACATGTATACATACATACTTACGAACATACACACATACATACATACATACATGCATACCTACATACGTGCATGAATGCAGACATACACACATGCATGCAATCACATGCATCAATTATATTACATTGCGTTGCATTACAACGCATTACCTTACATTACATTACACTACATTACATCACATTACATCACATTCCATTACATTACAATAAATTACATTACAACACATGCCTTCAAATACAATACAACACAATACAATACATCACATGACATTTACCGTACATTTTCCATACCCAACAACACAGTGCACCACACTACAATACATTACATTACAATGAATTCCATTACACTACATTGCATTACGTGCATACAAACATACATGTATAATAATATAAACACGACGCAATATTGAATTGGCGTTTCGCGCCAATGCTCTGATGTCTTTCACCCTAACATGCAGGCGAGATGAAAAAGGTATGTAAATCAAACCAGCGATAGTTGTTTTGCGCTTGGGGCCGACTTTTGCGGCAAGGCACGAAGGCCGCAAAATGTTGAGACGCAGCTGAAAACAAGCGAGGGGCACTCATTTTTCAGACCACCAACGGCACTTGCGAGCCAATCTATCCAATGATACGGCTTTCCCGAGTAACACCGACAGACACCACAACCGCACAGTAGATCCTCAGGTGCCGTCGCACCACGCGTGCGGCCCCACGAACATCAACAAACTGCGACACATGCATGGTGCCGCGTGCCTGTCTACAAAAAGAACACGCAACGAGAGGATAGACAGGAAAAGGCGAGGGTCACAGGCAGGTAATTCCTGGAAAGAAGAAGATAATCAGCCCATTGTGCAAGGGCGCACACTAGTAGTGGAGGCCCATGCCGGCATACGGCAACTAGATTGAAACAACTTTTTCGCCATCGCCACTATCATTTTGTTGTTCGTTGTCCTTTCCTCATGTGTCCTCGCCCTTGTTCTATTCCGTTTCCTCGTTCTCGCCTAAAGCCCTGCGTTCCCTCCCCCATCCTCCTCAAACGTGTTTGCCAGGGGTCCGCTTCCACTGATCCGTTAGTAATGATGACGGGCCGTTGATCAAACCACCACACTTTTGTCATCGGCCAGTCCCGTGGCATACCTCAAGCCACTCGGCGATGGGAATGATGAGAGACAGCGCGCAAGGAAATATACCCAAAAAACCCGCACGGGGTTCACGATTCCCCTCCCAATTTGGAGTCGTCTGCGCTTCCGCGACACCTAGTATTTTGCCTGGATATTCAGATTCCATGCAAGATGATCCGATAATATATCATGGTCAGTGGGCTCCGCAGATGACATGGGGAAGAAAGGATAATGCTGTCAAGCATACACTAAAGTAGCACTGAAGGGAGGAGGCCGGCCCGCCGGCCGACGCACGCGCACGCGCCGCAGGCTCGCTCCCTGTCCGTTTCCCTAGGGCCAAAGTAATATAGCTGCGGAAGCAGACATGGTCAGTCAGTGCGACAGGCCGTGCGCGCAAGGAGAGAGAGAGAGCAGGCAGGGCGAAAGATTGGTGGTGCGGAAGGGGTGCATTGGTTCAACTACAATGGGCGAACGATGAACACGAAGTGTCTCCAATAAACCGTGAGAAACGCCAAGAGCATGATTCTAGGGCGCGGCGTCTGAATCAACCGCGAAAAGTCCCACGCGAGAGCGCGATTCCTGCATGCATTGTTTGGAAGTCCCACGCGAGAACACGATCTTGGAACACATGGTGAAGAACTATCAAGCGGGAACTGCTGTTGTTGTACACTCGGGGCAACAACCCAATAAGAGTCGCAAGACTTCCCCTTGTACAAAACAGGTGCGAGCCCCGGAGGGAGCACGTCACTTTAAAAACACAGTGGGCACCAGGGGGGGATCAACTATACATGTTCCTCAATTAAAGCTTGTCTCAGTAGGGGTTCTAGCGGTTTCATCATATGTGTAGGTGACCTACGTCGCCGATTTCGGTGCCCCAATGCCCAGGTGCCCAAAAACCCGCGGGTGCCCGGGTGCCCCGGTGCCCGGGTGCCCCGGTGCCCGGGTGCCCAGGGGTGCCCGGGTGCCCGGGTGCCATGCCCAGGTGCCCGGGTGCCCGGGCGCGCCCGGGTGCCCGGGCGCCCGGGTGCCCGGGTGCCCAGGTGCCCGGGCACCCGGGCGTCCGGTAGCCCTATAGCCCTATAGCCTTATAGCCGCGTAGCCTTTTAGCTCTGTAGCCCCAGAGCCCTACAGCCTCATAGCCCTAATGCCCTAATAATCCTACAGGCCTATTCCCCCTACTTACCCAAAAGCCCTATAGTCCTATAGCCCTATAGCCCTAGTTCTATAGCCCTATAGCCCTATAGCCCTGTAGCCCTATAGACCCAAACAAAAATATGATTGTGTGTTTTCTCCGGTATCACTCTTTAGAGATAAAAACTTGACAGCAACAGCAACAACAACGACGACGACGACGACCAACAACAACAATCACGACAACAACCACAACAACAAACAAAAACAACAACAACCACAACATCAACAGACACAAAACTAGCACAGTAACAACAACAATAACAACACAAACAACAACAACAGCAACAACAACAACAGCAGCAACAACAACAACAACAATCACGACAACAACCACAACAACAAACAAAAACAACAACAACCACAACAACAACAACAACGACGACAACGACGACGACGACGACGACAACAATCCACAGCGAGAGCGTGACTCCTGAGTGTCGAGGGCGCGGCGTCTGAATACATTGGAAAAAAGTCCAACGCAAGAGCGCGAGTTCTGCATAAGTTGTGAGGAAGTCCCGCGCGAGAGCCTGAGTTCTCCATAAACTGTGAGGAAGTATCAGGCTGGAGCCGCTGTTGTTGTTGTTGTTGTAACTCGGGGGCCGGTGGCGCAGGTTGACGCTCAAGACTTTCCCTGATAAAAAACAGGATGCGAGTCCCGGGAGGGGCACTTCAATTGAAAGTCCGATGTTCACCAGGCGGGGGGGGAATCAACAATACTTATTCTTCAGAACTGAAAGTTCTCCAAATAGGCTTGCCCTATAGGAGTTCTAGCTCATCATAAGTAATTGGTCTTCAGCACCCCCCCCTCCCTTTTTCCAATGCCCCCCCCCCCTTTTCTGATGGCACCCCCCCTGTGTCCAGTGGCACTTGCTTGCTTGCTCTTGCGTGCTTGCTCTCGGTTGCTTGCTCTTGCTTCCCCTTGCTTGCTTGCACGTGATCGCTGGCTCTCGCTTGCTTGTTTTGCTCGCTTGCGCTTGCTTGCTTCCGCTTGCTTGCTTGCGCTTGCTTGATTTTGCTCTTCCCGTCCTCCTCCCGTCCTGCTCCCGTCCTCCTTTCGTCCTCCTCCCACCCTCCTCTCGTCCTCCTCCTGTCCTCCGATCTATTTGGAGACAGCGCTGGCTGATATTCAGCAAAAACAGCACTCACGACAACACCAACAACAACAGTAACAACAACAACGCCAACAACAACGACGCCAACAACAACA